ACTTTCGCCTTGAACTTCCCATATCTTGGCGGCCGCTCGTCATCCAGCAAACCAGGCGCCGGCTCCAGCACCGTTTCTCCATCCACGGCATAAAACACGGCCAGCGAAAGCCTCTCCCTCTCGGCGTTCGTCACCACCCTGTGAACCGGGCTCCTGAAGATCCCGTTGCACATTATCTGCGTCAAATATATATTTGCATACAACCCAACAAAGCATCAGCATTCAGGAAATACTAGGATATATACTAGGATATATTCGACGCACATTACCTGCTGGAATTTTTGTCTATTTGGGCCTAGCCCAATAGCAGTTCCAGAAATTCCTAATAAATCCTAGAGGCCCACGCAACCCATTCGTGCAAGGCAAGAGGTGGAACTAAAGTTTAGTCCCACCTTGCTAGTTTAGAGGGAATTGGACCTTTTTATAAGGGAGGCTTCTTCCCCACTTGTATGAGCATGAGAACAAGAGGGACATCCACGCGCGCTCCTCCGCCGCGGGTTGCGGGAATGAGCCGAGCCGATGTAAATTTTTGCCACGCACTACGGGTATACGAAAGGGCACGCGAAAGCTGAAACATTACCTCTTCGCCTGCTGCCTGTTCGTTTCGTCTCCCTCGTTCTCTTCAGCTCCCAGCGCAGCCTCTCGCCTCCTTCTCTTGCGCCTATAAAAGGGAGGTCGCTCCTCCCAGAGAGACGCACCAGAATCTCTTCCTCTTCTATTAGAGGTTCTGCTGCTGCTGGCCCGTACGTGTTCGTCCCCTTTCTATTAGAGGTTCTGCTACAGTTCCTTGTTCTAGTATTTGCCCTGAATATGTTAGACTCTATTTCATATATGCAACTTGCTATACTGTCTGCTCAAGATATGTTTAGTTACGGTTCATATATGAAGATGTTGTTTACCTTCTCTTTGTCAAATCGCATGGCTTGTTTTATCACTGCTACACTAGTCATGCTTTATCTAGTATTTCTGTTAATAAAATCACTCAGTAAATTGCTCATATTTCCAACAATCCAAAAACCTTATTATAGGCAATTTACCCCGAGTGGTTTTGCTGCTTCCATGAGACCTCCTATGTTTGAGGGTATCCACTATAAGAGGTGGCGCGTGAGAGCAGTTTGATGGTTTCAGACCATGAGCTGCTATGACGCCACTCTTGGCAAACTTGAAGGAGAGCAAGATGCCCAACAGGCACAAGCTTTTCAGAAAATGGATACCTTGTTTAAGGCTGCTCTCTTGAGTGTTCTTGGTGAGAACATAGTTGATGCTTATGCGTCAATTGACAATGGAAAAGATATGTGGGACGCTCTCGAGGCCAAGTTTGGGGTCTCGGATGCCGACACTGAGTTGTACATCATGGAGCAATTCTATGATTACAGGATGACTGAAGAGCGCTCCGTGGTTGAGCAGACTCATGAGATACAGTCATTTGCTAGAGAACTTGAGCACTTCAATTGCATGCTACCGGACAAGTTTGTTGCCGGGGGTATCATCACTAAGCTTCCTCCTTCATGGAGGAACTTTGCTACTTTACTTAAGCATAAGAGACAGGAGTTTTCCGTTCCGGATCTCATTGGTACTCTTGATGTGGAAGAAAAGGAGAGAGCAAAGGACACACGTGCTCGAGGTATTGAGGGAGGATCTAGTGCCAATCTGGTACAGAAGAAAAACTTCCAGTCCCACAAGTTCAAGAATAAGGGCAAGCTTGATGGTAAAGCAAAGTTTGATGGGAAGAACAAGGCTATACAACACACAAACTTCAAGAAGAAGAGTGACAAGAAGAAAGGTGCTTGTCATGTGTGTAGAGATCCTGATCATTGGGCTCCTAGTTGTCCTAATCGCTATGACAAGCGTCATCCTGGAAAGACGGCAAGACCGCTAATGTTGTCATTGGAGACACTGACATGAAGGATGCTGGGTATGATATATTCCCCACTATTCTTTCAGTATGTCATTCTCCTGATTGGTTGATTGACACGGGTGCTAATGTGCATGTATGCGGTGATATTTCCATGTTTTCGTCTTATCAGATCGCATGGACTTCAACCGTGCTGATGGGCAACGGTTCAAGTGCTTCTGTTCGTGGTGTTGGCACGGTCGATCTGAAGTTTACTTCGGGGAAGATCGTGCGGCTGAAGAACGTGCATTATGTCCCCTCCGTCAATAAAAATCTTGTTAGCGGATCTCTTCTCTGTAGAGATGGCTACAAGCTTGTCTTTGAGTCGAATAAATTTGTAATCTCCAAGTATGGAACCTTTGTTGGTAAAGGCTATGAGTCAGGAGGCCTGTTTCGTTTATCCTTATCAGACGTTTGCAATAAAGTTGTTAATCATATTTGCAACAATAGTGAATCAAATGTGTGGCATTCACGTCTTTGTCATGTTAACTTTGGTTGCATGTCGCGACTAGCGAAGTTGAACTTAATCCCTAGTTTCACCACTGTCAAGGGATCTAAGTGTCAAGTGTGTGTGCAAGCTAAGCAACCTCGTAAGACTCACGTGACTGCGGAGACGAGAAATCTTGCACCACTAGAACTAATACATTCAGATCTATGTGAAATGAATGGTGTTTTGACAAAAGGTGGAAAGAAATATTTCATGACGTTAATTGACGACTCCACTAGATACTGCCATGTGTATCTTCTGAAATCTAAGGATGAGGCTTTGAACTTTTTCAAGATCTATAAAGCTGAAGTGGAAAACCAACTTGATCGAAAAATCAAGAGGCTTAGGTCCGACCATGGTGGAGAGTATTTTTCCAATGAACTTGATGCTTTTTGTGCGAAACATGGTATAATCCATGAGAGGACGCCTCCCTACTCACCTCAGTCAAATGGGGTGGCCGAAAGAAAGAACAGTACTCTAACTGATTTGGTTAACGCCATGTTAAACACATCGGGTCTCTCCAAGGCACGGTGGGGGGAGGCGATATTGACTGCATGTCATGTCCTAAACCGAGTTCCCACAAAGAATAAAGAGATAACTCCATTCGAGGAATGGGAGAAGAAAAGGTTAAAACTCACTTATCTGCGAACATGGGGCTGTTTGGCGAAAGTCAATGTACCAATTCCAAAGAAGCGGAAGCTGGGACCAAAAACTGTGGATTGTGTTTTCCTGGGATATGCCTTTCATAGCATAGGCTATAGATTCTTGGTTGTAAAATCTGAGGTACCTGACATGCATGTCGGTACGATCATGAAGTCGAATGATGCGACTTTCTTTGAAGATATCTTTCCCATGAAGGATATGGCTATCTCATCTAATCAGGAGATGCCTAGTTCATCGAATCAGGAACCAGTTACAATTACTGAACCTACCATTTCGATGGAACACTTTGAAAGTCCTGTGGAGGAGAACAATGAAGTTCCTACTAGGAGCAAGAGACAGAGGACTGCAAAGTCTTTTGGTGATGATTTTCTTGTGTATCTCATAGATGACACTCACAGTTCTATTTTGGAGGCCTATGCATCGGAAGATGCTGACTACTGGAAGGAAGCGGTTCGTAGCGATGTGGATTCCATCTTGACGAATGAAACCTGGGAGATAACTGATCGTCCTTATGGGTGCACACCTATAGGATGCAAATGGGTATTCAAGAAGAAGCTTAGGCCTGATGGTACTATTGAAAAGTACAAGGCTCGGCTCGTGGCTAAGGGTTATACCCAAAAGGAAGGTGAAGACTTCTTTGATACTTACTCACCTGTGGCTCGACTGACCACTATTCGAGTTCTACTTTCACTAGCTGCCTCACATGGTCTTCTCGTTCATCAAATGGATGTTAAGACTGCTTTCCTAAATGAAGAGTTGGATGAGGAAATTTATATGGAACAACCAGATGGGTTTGTAATAGATGGTCAGGAAGGGAAAGTGTGCAAGTTGCTGAAGTCCTTGTATGGACTCAAGCAAGCACCCAAACAGTGGCATGAGAAGTTTGAAAGAACTTTAACAGCTGCAGGCTTTGTTGTGAACGAAGCTGACAAATGTGTGTACTATCGCCATGGTGGGGGCAAGGGAGTTATGCTTTGCTTGTATGTTGATGACATACTAATTTTCGGAACAAACTGAATGTTATTAAGGAGGTCAAGGATTTTCTATCTTGCTGTTTTGAGATGAAGGATTTAGGAGTGGCTGATGTCATTCTGAACATCAAGTTGTTGAGAGATGATGATGATGGGATTACATTGCTTCAATCTCACTATGTGGAAAAGATCTTGAGTCACTTTGGCTATAGTGACTGCAAGCCCTCTCCAACACCATATGATGCTAGCGTGCTGCTTCGAAAGAATCGAAGAATTGCTAGAGACCAATTGAAATATTCACAGATTATTGACTCGCTTATGTACTTAGCCAGTGCTACGAAACCTGACATCTCTTTTGCTGTTAGCAAACTGAGCCGGTTTGTCTCAAAACCAGGAGATGTGCATTGGAAAGCTCTAGAAAAAGTTTTGCGTTATTTGAAAAGTATTGCAAATTATGGAATTCACTATACTGGGCATCCAAAGGTGCTTGAAGGGTATAAGCGACTCGAATCCCCACTGGCTGGGGATGCTCTAAGGTTTGCGGCAAGCATTTGATCCATTTTTTTTGGATAGACGAGACGATGGTACTACTCGAATTGGATTTGGATGCAGCGGCTCGTTGCTGTCAGAAAGAAACGTTGGAACATATGGCAGGCAGGTGCAGACCCCGAGCCCGACGCGGCGGTGTGTGCGGTCTACCGTCCCCACGGCCACCGCCACGCCGACGTCGACGCCGGTGTTTGGCATTTCCCGGTGAAGGAAAGAAAAATCTGGAGTGGAGTGGAGTGGATAGGATAGGACCAATCCACATCACTGCTCCGCTCCTCCCTTCCCCTCACCTCACTACATACACTGCTCTTCCTTCCTTCCCCTCTACAACCAAGATTCAAAGAATCCAATCCAGTCCAATCCATCTTCTCTTTGCCACTCTTCTCCGCCGGAGCTGCTGCCAAAGTCTCTGTCTTTCTCTGTGTCCGTCCAGTAGATGAGCATGGCGGCGACGGCGGCCACGGCCACGGCCTGGCCCTCCACCTCCTCCTCCGTCCTCGCCCCTCGCACCCGCCACCACGCCACCCGCAGCCCCCGCGCCCTCCGCTCCGGCTTCCTTGGCCGCGCCCTCACCCTCGCCGCCCCCACAGACCGCCCCTCCCCCGTCTCCGTCTCCGTGCGCGCGGCCTGGGACGGCCCCCTCTCCTCGGCGCGCCTCATCATGCAGGGCCGCAACGTCAAGGTAACATCTTTCTTTCTTCCCCCCCAATCCCGCAATCCGCGCGAATAATGCGCCATCCATTCCCCCCACCTGAATCCCGCTCTCTGGGCTAACTCGCAGCTGACGGAGAAGCTCAAGGAGCACATCGAGGACAAGGTGGGGCGCGCGGTGCACAACCACGCGCACCTGGTGCGGGAGGTGGACGTGCGCCTCTCCGCCCGCGGCGGCGACCTCAGCAAGGGCCCCAAGCTCTCCCGCTGCGAGGTCACGCTCTTCACGCGCCGCCACGGCGTCGTGCGCGCAGAGGAGGAGGAGGAGTCATCCTACGCCTCCATCGACGCCGCCGCCGCCGTCGTCAAGCGCAAGCTGAGGAAGATCAAGGAGAAGGAGACCGACGTGCGCCACCTCAAGGGCACCAAGGAGTGGCAGGCCTCCGGGCTGTCCGACGTGGAAGACGAGTCGGAGGCAGAGGAGCTGGAGGATGACGACGATGACGAGCTCGTGGAGGTCATCGGCGCCGAGGACGAGGAGACCGTGCTCACCAAGGTGACCACTGCACCGTCTGAGCCATCAATCAATCTCTCTTTGATGCTGCATTCGGGAATAAAATGCCACTCATTTACAACTGTTTTGGCTGACAATTTTGCACCTTTTTATTCATTCATCATCTGATCATGTAGTGCAGGAATTTAGAATCAGTCTTTATGGAGAAAGTGAATTCATCTATGTTGCTGTGTTAAGATTTAAGATTGACTGATCAATTGGTGCCAGGGTCTGATGTGTGAGCTCATCAAGTATGCTGTTGTTGGTTTGCAGGTTGTGCGCACCAAGGTGTTCGAGATGGCGCCGCTGACGGTGGATGAGGCGCTGGAGCAGCTGGAGAACGTCGACCACGACTTCTACGCCTTCAGGAACGAGCAGACAGGTACTAGATACCCAAGTGTTGCAGCATTGCATTTGCTCCATCAAACACTTATTGCAAGTTGCAACTCAACTTAACTAATCTGAACCAGACTAAACTGAACTTACCTGAACTAGATTGACTAAAGAGAAGTTATCTGAACTGAAGTGTGGTACGAAATGCAGGGGAGGTGAACATCCTGTACAAGAGGAAGGAGGGAGGGTTCGGGCTCATCATCCCCAAGCAGGACGGCCATGTCGACAAGGCCACCGTCAACGCCAAGGAGAAGGAGCACCCCGTCGCCGGCTGACGTCTCCTCTCCATGACACCAAGTGGATCACTAGCTGTAGCTGCATTAGTCGGTCTGTTTTTTCCCTGATGATAATAATGGTGGTGGGTGTCTTATGAAGCAAGTGTCAACAAGTGCTGGTGTCTTACGCACAAACCCAAGAATCCACACCCAGGAAATGAACAAACTGAATTGATCTGATCCAAGAACTAAAAGGCCGAGATATTTTCTAGTTAGTACTATGCTAGAGGCAGCCAGGAGCTGGGACTGATCCATCATCACAGATCATAGACAGGCAGGAACAGCTCGAGATAAAAAAAGGTAGACAAGCAAGCAAGGGAGGAAGGGTGTTGGTAGTGGTAAGTACGCTTGAGGTCGGCGGGGGTGGAGGCGGCGGGGAAGGAGACGGCGAGGCGGGTGCCGAGGCTCGTCTCCAGGAAGGCCGTCGCCACGTCGCCGCCGGCGGCCATCTGCTCTGCTTTCCCGACCGTAATGGCAGCTCGCTCCTCTTCCTTTCGCTAGCTCTCACTGTGTGCGCCCTTGAGTGAGTGAGTGAGTGAGTGAGTGAATAAAGAAAGACGTGAAGGCACAAAAAGATTCCACCTGACCTGTCGATGGCTCAACGGTGGACGCACTCCTCGTCTCTCTCTCCGCTTGCACTCACCGGACCGGGGAGGACTAGTATAGAAACAGGGCCTATGGTGATAGAATATAAAAAAAGAACAAAACTTTTGCAATAACCACCTCAAATCTCTCATATATCAATCAATTTGTCCTTCCTAAATAAGACAACGTTTCACACCTGTACGAGTGCCCCTGTCGTATTAAGTTCACACAGAAAACTGCACATATATGTACTGTACAAGAACTCGTGTATATTTGATTTCATTACTAACTTCTGCTACATCAGAAACCATGCAAGAAATCCGAACATGTTGGTCCCTAAAAGTAGGTGGACATCATCACAAATATTAGAGTACATGAGAACATTAATCTATCCACTTGAAATCATAGCAAAACATACATTTGAAATTGCACGATCCCAGACCGAACACAACAGAAGAGACACACAAACATATCTTATCAAGTGTAACATATCATGAGAGGATCACTTTTGGTACATCTCATGCAAGACTAATTATGAAGGACCAAAATAATCGCCGTTTCAGCAAGCTTTGCCAGTAAAAATTGCGTCAACTTTTGCTACTTGATGGTACACAACAGAAAAGCCTCCGTTACTAGTGCGCTCATCGAGCTTCTTGTGCTGGGAGAGATCAGACCCAATAACAAAATAAAATTCAGTTAGCACAGGTCTGTACAAGTGTCAAGCATTCATAATCTTATTACTCATGATCTAATTGAATGAATATGCATCAACAATGCCATCTGACTGTGTGTTGCACATACCACATGGAAGGAAAATAGAGATGAATCAAATTCATCCAAAAACACAACCTAAAGTATATGCTTCTATGCTGGAACTCGCAGAGCCGCCAGCTATTTTGTTGCTCATCCTAACTTACTAATAATGAAATAGATTATAAAACATTATTTATCTCGTACAAAAAACAATAGTGCATTCTGTTCATATGGTGAGACTGGCAACCAATGGCAGAAGTAGGCAACAAAAATATTTACATATAAAGTTCAGATAAACTTAAGTTAACACACAAAATGCAGAATCATATTAGACATCAATCATATAAACCTTGGGATTTTACTGAAAAGAGCTCATAATTTTTGGTCAGATACTCCACTGGGCAAAAATATCTAGTAATATTATTTGCAAACACACTGGGCTTGCATATTTTTTTGGTCAGGTACCTTTATAAAATTTTAACATAGCTGAAAGCTTGAACAACCATCCATATACCTCAGATCATCAGATTACATGTTTCAAGGACTACTTAAAAGCAGAGATAGGAACAAGAACAAATGGCAACAAACAAAAAGTTTTTTTTCTGTCCTGGAGATTCAGATTATTATTATAATCCAATAGTCTTAAAAGAAAATGATGGCATGCATTATATTACTTCGGAATAGCAACAAAAAAACCACGACAGCACAGGAAATAAAAATGGACATGATGACCAAGAAAGAGTGGTCGTAAACCATTTCACGTTGTGGGAACCAATCAAAGTGCAACAGAATTTGACAATTCAATTGCTCTAGTATCCAAAATATTGTCAAAATGTTATATTTTCACCAGTTCATCTGCGTGGTTGTAGTGATTCTACCACTGTCATTAATTTTATTTTACTTTGACTCCAGGCTCGATTAACTGAGCTCCAATCAGAATGTGTTCATGTAGTGCTTAAACAACATCGCAGTGATCCAAGGAACTGTAGTTTTTTTTGTGTGGTCAATGGAACAAATAGTTTACTGCTACCAGTGAGCAAAATGGCAGCGCACAACAATTGACTGCCCGTTCTAATGCGGCCAAAATAATGTGCACCTAGAAAGAGCAGAAGGCAAAATAGAAGCTAAATTTTCCATATTGGAAATCATGAAATCACCAAGTTAGGTCATCCTATAAGCATCCATTGATCCCCAGGTCAAATATTCATTGACAAAAATATTTTTCGGCAAACAAGTGCAACTACTTTTCTTTCTCTGGAAGAAGACATCTCCAATTGCAAGGTTGCAAATTAGAAGGTACAGACAACGAGAGTCTTATTTTACAAGCAGAAGGTTACAATGAATGCAAACTGAAAACAAGAATGATATCCTTCAACCTCTCGGTGAAATATGTACACTATTCCCTAACTATTTTGGTCAGGTGAATTCGACATCTAAAAATCTAAAACAACACATGAACATGCTGCTAGATATATTAAATTAGTTCATGGATGTAAGCGCGGTTTTGAGCTGACCACATTTTGACCTCCAAGCTTTGATGTTGTCTGATACTAATATTTTGGGCACCGATAATCTTACATGTTAGGACAGACTACAAAAGCTTAACATAAACTTGTGAACTAATTTCACCAGGACAACGAGAGCCACTATAGGATGTTCATGTGTGGCTGTATCACAAGCATATGTACCTCTATAACATCGCGAGGCAACGAGAGCAACTATAGGATGTTCCTGTATCACAAGCTAAGGCTGAAACATCATCTCGCCAGAATCTATTCCATACTATTTTTTGACACACCACACGACATCCGTATATGCATGCTAAATATTCAGCTTTATCAGCCTCTCACTAAAATCTACTCTGTTCATGTGTTTCTGCTCCGACTCTCTCTGCACTCCTGCGAAAATAAAAGCAGTGGGCTTGACTGTTTCATCAGATATAGTTCAAACCACGGGCGAGGCGCTTTGAAGCTAAACCTGCATTGAACCCCTTTTTTTGGGGAAGTATGAGATGCATATTTAGAAGTACCAACAAATTCTGAACAAAATCCAACATGTGCATATACAGTACATATGTGTAAACTTTCATTAGATGGATATGCCTCTTCCTGAACACAGCACAGTATAAAATATGAGCTACAATGACCAATGTTGACAATGTGCAATCTTCAGACACATGTGTTCTTGGATAGCATACCAGAACTAAGCCATAGCACTAAGCATCATGCTAAGCGTCACAGGAGAGGGGAGCTGCCATTAGAGAATAATCTACAGGAGGGAGAGGGGGAGGGAAGTGGGAGAAACGGAGCTGACCTTGTTTCTGATCCTGCGAGGCGAAGGAGGCGAGGAGGTCGAACACCACCGGCTTGCCTCCGGTGAGCTATTGCTGGATCTAGGAGCAACGGGGAGGAGAAGATAGTGGCAGCATCACCACGGACTAGATCACTACTAGCTTGCCTCCGGATGTAGGAACGTGCTGAGCGGGCGGGACACCCGCGGCCACCAGGGACGAGGAGACCGTGGCGGCGGCTGCCCGGTCGCTGACGACGATGTGCAGCGTGATGATGTGGTGGCCTGGGGACGGAGCCAAGCGACCTAGATGCCGTACTAGGAGGGGAAGAGGCAGGGAGTAGGTGCCGTGGGAGTAACCATCGTCCACCATGGAAGCACCGGATCTGCCTATCTGAGCAGCCGCCACCGTCGACGAGAGATTGGGGAACAGGGGAGCGAGCTACACGGAGAGTCGTTTTGAAGGAGAGGGACCTGAGGCAACTTAGTTGAGAGTAAAGGGACATATTTGCACAGAGTTGTGTAGTTATGAGTACAGATCCATCCTCTCGGATCTACTCCCTCCGTTCCAAAATAGATGAACCAACTTTGTAAGTATAGCATATATGCCTGATCCAACGGCCCAGTATCATTTTTCTATTCTTCTACCGTAAGCTCTGTTTCTATGCTTGATCAAACTTAGTTGAGAGTAAAGCAGACAAGAATTTTGGGACGGAGGGAGTATAACATAGGGATCACTCCATATGTGCTTACAAGTATGCCGATAGTCCCATTGACCTTCTTTCAAGTACTCGTGGGGAACCGAAAAGGTTGGACTTTTGTCCATCACATTTTTTCTAGCAAAACGATGAGACTAAATCTACGTACATGTTGGCCAAGTGGGATATAATTTCTAGGCTGAAGGACCAAGCGGGTTGAGGTAAAGAACAGGTGCATGCTCAGTAAATAGCTATATAGGCTATCTGTAAAGAGGAGGGTTTGTGGATACATTTATTACATAACAAGTATTTGCAATCCAAGACTCTTGCACAAGTAATGGCGCAACCGAATGATTCACCTTTTTAGAAGGGGCTGATGCGAATAAAGGTTGCATTCTTCGATAGAACCAAAATCATTGTAGGAAACAGTAATACTATTAGGTTTTGGGAGGATACATGGTTAGGGGAGACGCCATTTGCCATACAATATCCAACCCTTTACAATATTGTAATCTCTAGGAAGCTCAAGAGAAGGTACGGAGTATGACTAATAAGCTCCACCTGTGGGGTTTAGCCTTCGGCAGCCACGTATCAGCTGACAGTAGGTGAAACTTCTGCATACCAAACTGACAATTCAAGGCATAGTACATTGTTCAGTTATGAAGAAGTCTAATC